CTTTCTCCTGCTCTTCTGGCCTGCTACTCTGGGCGGGCCTGAGTTTCCTCTCCTCACCTAATCCCTTTGGCTGATTGCTCTTCTCTCTGGCTTCCTGGCTTTTAATCCCCTTTCTCCTGCTCTTCCTGCCTGCTACTTTGGGTGTCCCTGAGTTGTCTTTCCTCAACTGTAACCCTGGGGCTGACTGCTCTTCTGTCTGGGTTCCTGGCTTTTATCCTGTGTAAGATACACACTGTTCAAAATTGAGAGGAGAATCCCCCACACCATTCTTTTGGCTTCTTCTTCCCTTCTACCACAATTTCTTAAAAGTGATTAAGGAAAACTTTGTCATACATGTTCTTGGGCCATGTTCCTGAGCTTAATGTGCATGTGGGCACCTGGAAGTAGACCTTACGACTTCACAGTACTCATCTATCACCACTGTCTCCTCTTTGTATGTGGGAGAATACTTATAAAACATACTGTTAAAGCAGGCCTATGTAGAGAAAAAATTATGACAGGAAATATTCCCCAAATCACTAATAGTACTGGTCTTTTGTTGTGTGGGAAGGATAAAAAGATGAGTAGAATATTTTCCCAATTTTTGTATATAATACATATTCACATATCTAAATTACATATAATACATAAGTTATATATTATAAGTTGTACCTCTGTAAATATGCATATATATTTATATGAAATATATATAATGAGTTGCATCTAAAACATCATAGTAGAAAAATGAACAATTAATAAACAGCTTTTTTTTACAAACATATAGGGTGGTTCTGAGTCTAATGTATCAAGTCTTTAATTCTTTCTCACAAAAGTAATAATTGTAACATCTTTCAGAAGTCATCATTACCCTAAAATCATTTCATGATTCAGTTTTAAAGAAATACTCAGAACTCTATATAATTAAGTGAAATATGGTGAAATGCTCAATCTTACTCTTTCAGGAATGTAAGGAATTTTATAAATGTATTAAGTGATTATTGTCTAATTCATTTAATGTCAGTGCTCAGGGTTCTTTACATTGAGGGCAAACTCTTAATTTCATAGCTGGAGGCTTACATCTCTTTTTAAGTTTTCTGTCTTGTCAGTGAGTAATGTGATTATCTTAAGGGATCCCTGATAAATAAGTTTGAAAAGCTGAATGTATCACTTTACCACAGTAGTAAAAATGTTCAAAGAGCATATCCTACACTAAATAAATCAATATTGTCTATCCACATGTCTCAAACATAGTTTTCACAAAATCATTTTCCTTGTGTAAGCAAGTAAGGAAATGTATGTATGTAGTAGGCACAAATTCTGTGTACTTTATTGTTACCACCCCCTTTATGGGAAATAGTAACATATAACTAAGAATATTTTTGTTTTTGATGTAATCAGTAAATCTTTACTTTTTTTTTTATTATTGAAGGGATCAGTGCTTTGATTGGAATACCCAAGAACTGTGTTGTAGCAGCAGTTGGAAAAGAACTCAGTGAGTATGATTCTTTCTTCCTTTTAAAATATGAATTGGACTTATATAATTATGAACTAGACTAATTAGTTTTATATTTTAGGAACTTCTGCCCCTACCCCATTCTTGCTTTCCTGGGATTATTTACGTAATATGGAGACTGAGATATTTTTGAGATATTAGATCAATTTTTGTATCCCACTACTCATCAATATAGTTAGGTTCCAAAAATCAGGCTATTATACGAAAACTGGTATTACAGGAAAATGGAGGATGACCACATCAGTTCACAAAATGGAAGGTGACTGTGATTATTGTCACAGTTCACAATTGGAAGGTGACTGTGACATAACTGTCAAATTGCATCATTATATAACTGCCAAATTTCATCATTATATAACTGCCAAACCACTAAGAATAATGACCTACCATGCTGATACATAACCTTAACCATCACAGCCAGTGTTACTTTCTTTTCACCCCTCAGCATTTGTTACTGCCAGATGTATGTCATTAATGTGCAAAGTAAATAGATTTTTTTACTATGATTGTAAATGTGAAATGTCAGATAATGAGATATTTAATAAGACAGGAGTAGGTGTACTATACTTGATTTAACATAACCCAAGAGGGCAAGCTGTTGAGTGCTGAACAGGTGACCATCCCACTCCTCTGGTGCCAAAGAGGGCCATTTATACCCCACAGTTATTTCCCTTGCTGATCCACAATCATACTAAAGCAAAAATTTTAACCACATGAAATAACAATCAACATTCCAGAAACTAGTAACTTGGGAGGTGACTGGAGAAAGATTATTTGGAGAATTCACTAAATCAGGAACTGGGAAGTTTCTAAATCAGGAAGCCAGAATGGGGCCTATTTTCCTCAGCGAGGTTTGTGCCATTTCCTTGAGGAGTAAGAGAGTAAAGCCCTGAAGAAAGCCATTTGTGCTCACTGCCTTATGAATGGGGTTTGGTTACCGAGAAGTGATAAAGTAAGCATGTTTCTTATAAGCTGCTTTCTCTTGAAGAATTTTTTTCTAACGTAGCCCACAGGGCATTCGATAATTGCTTTTTGCTACTTTTTCTAGAGACTTGCCCTGGGATTTGCTCTATCAGGTGGCATATTTGGAAATGTCTGTGGGACATGGGATAATTAGTCACCTTTTGCTAACTGCTATCTGCAGGCCATGTGATTGGCAGTTTGCAGTCAAGCTTCTCTTTCTTCACCTGACCTTTCCATGTGTAATCATGTCTGAGAAATAATTTTCTAGGCCCTGTGCTTTTCCTTTCATAAGCAGTCTCTGAAGTTGAATACTTTGTGTTTAGCTTTTTCTTTCCTTGAAGAAATTTTGTTTTCTTGTGTTCTCCACTGCAGCTGAGAAGAAACTTACCTTTTCCCTGCCTTTCTTCTCTACCAGCTGATCATGTTTTGCTGTTTTTCCTTTTAACTCAGTGGTCCTCAGACCTTAATAAGCATTAGAATCACCTGAAGGGCTTGTTCAACCACAGATCATTTGGCCCAGTCCTCAGAGTTTCCAACTCACCAGGTCTGAAGTGAGGCCTGAGAGTCTGCCTTTCTAGTAAGTTATCAGGTGATGCTAAGGTTGCTGATTCAGGGGCCACTCTGTGAAGACTACTGTTCTAAATATTTTGGTCCCCACCTCTCCAATCTTGCTACTGTTGCTCTCTTGAGATTCTCATTCTCTCTTGACTAGTTGGCCACAGTAGTCTCCTAACTCAACTCTTGTCCACTGGTTTAGTGTTTCTCAAATGTATTCTCCAGTAGATGTTAGAGGAATATATCTAAAATGCAAGCTGTTCCCTTCTTAAAAGATTCCGTGGCTTCTTAACTGCCTACAGCATTCATTCCTAGACTCTCAAATTTCTGATCAGTCCACAGTTAAATAACTTTTGGAAAGCAGCATAAAATTGCCAGATTTTTATTTTGCTGAGTGAAAACATAAAACAAATTATCATGTCATCACCCTCATTTTGTAAAAATGACATTTTTAATAAAAAAGTATTGAAGAACATAATCTCAAAACAAATAATAAGACTTTAAATTGAATTCATATATGCTCCTTATTTTTTTTTTCATTTTTGCCCCAGATGAATAAAATCTTTGCCCTAGAAGACCAATGTAAGGTCACCAAACCAAAACCAAACCAAACTCACTGCTGTCAAGTCAATTCTGACTCTTAGTGACCCCCTTTGGGTTTCTGAGGTGGTAAATCTTTACGGAAGTAGATTGCACAGTCAATTTTCCTTCCTCAGAGTGGCTGGTGGGTTTGAACCACCAACCTTCTGGTTACCAGTCAAATGATTTAGGCACTACGTTACCAAAGCTCCTTAAGTAAGGTCATCAGTGGTCTAAAAATAAAATCCAGACTTTTCGGCATTTCAAGTCAAGGCCTTCATTATATGCCTCCTTTTTCTGAGCCTTTTATTTCTTGTTACTCAGCATTCACTTGCTTGTGAGTATCCCACCTGAATGTTTCTCACTTCAATGCTTACATTTACACTGTCAGCCTGTACTACTCATTGTCCTCTTGACCTGACTAATTTAAGAGTTCAGCTCAAGTCTCTCTTTTTCCTGTAGTACCCTGCACACATATCATTACATTTACTACTTTAAAATAATGTTTGCTTTTTAGTCCCTCTATTGACTCCTCTGCAGAATGTAAGCTCTTCAGCAAGTGAGAATTTCTTGTTCCTCCTCTTTATGCTAACAGATAACAGATGAATAAATGAATGAGTGAATCACTGAAATAACAATAAAAGATCAGTACTTCAGCAGAAGTCATACTATCATTTTACAAAAAATAGTAGTTGGTTTTATCCCAAAAATAATTTATAAAAAATTCATGGCATTCTTAAAAATGAAATTCTACATTTTACTTGGTTTTATCATAAAGATAGAATGCTATTTTTCCTTATATAAAAATAAATATTGTCCCTATAAATGAAGTCTTTTCTATTTGAAAGACCAAGCTACCCCCTAGGGTACTTGGTTTTAAATGTTTCATGCCAATTTCTCTTTTTCTATGTGAAGAGTCCTTTCAATGGGAAATATGATTTCTTTGTGCAGTAGCTGCAGTGACTTTCAGGCTTTACTAGCTAAGCAAGGCTGTCAGCTCTGAAGCTTCATCCTGGTTCAGAAGGCCAGGATTTTTTTTTTTTTTGACTCTCCCATAGAATTGCTGTTGCTCCTCTTTTGCCCTCTGACGTGATTCATTTTTGTTTTGTTCTGTTTAAGTTGTTAAATAAATGACCCTATGAATATTCATCTTTAAATATTATATTTATGGACTCTAGTACTTTATATGTTTCTTTTTTCTGTCAATATTTCAGATTATTATCTTGGTTTGATTAACTGGTATATTGCTTGTTATTCCAAAATCTCTATCACAAAATCATTTGATAGTTTTATTCCAACTGAGGTAGAATTTTCACAGAACCTTAAATAAGTATCAAGAAGAGTTCTCTTTCATATTGACTTAAGGACCTTCTTCTTTTGACAGTCACAGTTTGAATATGAATGTCTGTCTGAATTAAATAACCTTGTTAAAGATTTGTCAGTTGGTAAAATATTATCCAGATCTATAGAAATAATTAGAGCATGACTTTGCTTCTAGAGAAGAATGTGAGAAAGAAGGCAAACTCTAGTAAGTAGCCAACAAAAGGTACGACCTCTGACGCCTTCCAGTCTCTCAGAGACTGACAGATTCAGTTATACTGATCTTTGTACATAGCATTTTATACATTGCCTATTATAGCACTTAATACATTGATTATAAGCCAAGCCAGTCTCACTCCTACTCTAGACTGGGCATAGACTGACCATAGTCTGGGCCTAACATTTTGTATCTTAAATTCCTGGAACATAGTAGATACTTAGTAATGATTGTTAATTTATTTCAGTTGATTTGATTTTGAGTTTTCTTTATTAAAGTTAGGATTTATACTAATTTAAATAAAATCATATTTCTTAAAGTCAGATAATAAGACAGGGAACAAGTACATCTATTACATTTAATAAGAACTTTAAGGTTCCTAAAATTATAAGGCATATTCTCTCAGAAAATTTATAATTTAGTGATGTATCCTTAGACATAAAGACAAGAATTTTTAAAATAGTGGCTGCTAAAGTCTTCACTGAGTTGATGTTAAACATGAATTTGTAGCAGTGCTTACTGGCCTGGAGACATGACTTCTCATTTTGCTGGCAATGGGAACATGAATAAAGAAGGCTGACAGTGATGATGGTTCAGGGGTATGTGCCAGTCACTGGCTAGAGAAGGTGTGAGTAGAATAGCTGGACTTAGATTGAAGCCTCTAGAGGGGATGAGGCTTCAGTGGTTGATAGTGGGCTTGTATGTGTCAATAAAGGAAACAAGTTCTATGGACACACTCCCTTTGAACTTCAGTAGATCATTTCAACTATCTTAAGCATTTGATAAAAGTATTTTGAAGTAATATGTATAAGACTTTTCCTGGACATGGATTTTTCAGTATTGTAGGTATTTCTCACTTAGTGAAATACTTGCTTTTTTGAGCAGCGGTATTATTTTATATTCTTTGAAATTTTAATAAAATTTTATCTGTCTTTTCATTAAGTAATTTTTAGGTTGGTAGCACCCATAGAAGGATCACTAAAATGGGATATTCTTGAAGTTAAGCGCCTTCTTGATCACCAAGATAATATTCTCTCATTGGTTAACGTCAATGGTAAGTTCATTATGTACATGTTTCTATTTTGTAAAATTTTACACTTGTTAATATGACCTATTCTGAACTTTAGTCTTGTTTCTGGTATTCTAAAATTACTGCTGTTAAAGTAATACCTTGGATTAGTAGGAGTTGACGTTCTCTTAACTCTGAAGTTTAAGCTAGTAGAGCTGAGTAAATTCCATAAATACCTTTGGTAGGTCTCAGATTTAGGCACAAGGAGAAGAGAAAGCAGATCAAGGAGAGCATGATTACCTCAATCAGTACTTGGTAGCAGTGGGATGATTGTTGTGGGCTGTAAAGACTAATGTTTAGTAGTATAGCAGTCTTTCTTGGAAAATGGTTCTGGCAGTTCCTATTTTGTAGAGATGAGAAATAGTTATGCTTTTTTGTCTTACCCACTGTCTTCTTTTGACATTCACAGTTTGAACATGAATGAATGTCTGAATTAAATAACCTTGTTAGAGAATAATACTCACATGCAAGTTACAAACTTAGAGTAGAATGAACAGAATTCAAGTCCATTGTAATCATGATTAAATACTCTGAGTATAGTAGCAAACTAAAGGTCTTCGGAAAATGGGTCGTGTCTGCCCTTCCTCATGGTTGTTAGTTTCAACTTGTCAAACACCTGTTTAGCTTCATAAATTATTTTAATCAGTATTTCCCATGAGCTAAATCTCATATCAGATAGCATGATAGGATCAGAAACCACAAAAACTTGAGATTTAGGTAGTTCACTTGCAAATAAGTGACAACTTATATTTCAGAACTCTGCTGGATGATCTGCGTACAGAGGTCAGATTAGAGGGCCCCTGTTTGTTGTTGTTCTTGTTAGATGTTGTGCAGTTGGCTCGGACTCACAGGGACCTCATGTACAACAGAACAAAACACTGCCCAGTCCTATATCATGCTTACGATCCTACCTGTGCTTGAGCCTATCATTGCAGCCACTATGTCACTCCATCTTGTTGAGGATTTTCGCCTTTTTTGTTGACCCTCTACTTTATCAAGCATGATATCCTTTTCCAAGGAATGGTCCCTTCTGACAGCATGACCAAAGTAGGTGAAACAAAGTCAGGCCATTCTTGCTTCCAAGGAGCATTCCAGCTGTACTTCTTCTGGGACAGATTTGTTTGTTCTTTTGGCATTCTGTGGTATTTCAGTATTCTTTGCCAACACCGTAATTCAAAGGTGTCAGCTTTTCTTCAGTCTTCCTTACTCATTGCCCAGCTTTCACATACATGTGAGGTGATTGAAAATATCATGGCTTCTGTTGGGCGCATCATCGTCTTCAAAGTGATATCTTTGCCCCTTAACGCTTTAAAGAGGTCTCTTGCAGCAGATTTGCCCAGTGCAATACAATGTCTGATTTCTTGACTGCTACTTCCATGGGTGTTGATTGTGTATCCAAGTAGAATGAAATCCCTGACAACTTCAATCTTTTCGTTATTTATTCTGATGTTGCTTATTGGTCAAGTTGTGAGGATTTTTGTTTTCTTTATGTTGAGGTGTAATCCATACTGAAGACTGTAGTCTTTGATCTTTATCAGTAAGCGTTTCAAGTCTTCTTCACTTTCAGGAGCAAGGTTGTGTCACCTACGTATTGCAGGTTGTTAATGAGTCTTCCTCCAATCCTGATGCCATGTTCTGCTTCATTCGGTCTAGCTTCTCAGATTATTTGCTTGGCATACAGATTGAATAAGTATGCTTAAGACTGCAATCCTGATGCACACCCTTCCTGATTTTAAACCATGTAGTATGCCCTTGCCCTTGTTCTGTTTGAATGACAGCCTCTTGGTTTATGTACACGTTCCTCATGAGTACAATTAAGTATTCTGGAATTCCTATTCTTTGCAATGTTACCTATAATTTGTTATGATGCACCAGTCAAATGCCTTTGCATAGTCAATAAAACACAAGTAATCTTTTTGGTATTCTTTGCTTTCAGCCAAGATCCACCTAACATCAGCAATGATGATATCCCTCATTCCATGTCCTCTTCTGAATCTACCTTGAATTTTTGGCAGTTCCCTGTCAATATATTGCTGTAACCATTTTTGAATTATCTTTAGCAAAATTTTACTTGTGTGTGATACTAATATTGTTTGATAATTTCCATATTCTGATGGATCATCTGTCTTTGGAATGGACACAGATATGGATCTCTTCCAGTCAGTTGCCCAGGTAGCTGTCTTCCATATTTCTTGGCATAAATGAGTAAGCACTTCCAGCACTGCATCCATTTCTTGAAACAGCTCAATGAGCATTCCATCAATTTCTGTAGCCTTGTTTTTACCAGTTCCTTCAGTGCAGCTTGGACTTCTTCCTTCGATACCATTGGTTTCTGATTATATGCTGCCTCCTGAAATGGATGAATATCAACCAATTCTTTTTGGTACAGTGACTCTGTGTATTCCTTCCATCTTCTTTTGATGCTTCCTGCATTGTTCAGTACTTTGCCCATAGAATCATTCAGTATTGTAACTTGAGACTTGAATCGTTTCTTCAGTTCTTTCAGCTTAAGAAATGCCGAGCTTTTTCCTTTTTGGTTCTCTAACTCCAGGTTTTTGCACATTTCATTATAATACTTCACGTTGTCTTCTTGAGCTACCCTTTGAAATCTTCTGTTCAGCTCTTTCATCTTGTCATTTCTTCCATTGACTTTAGCTACTCTCCGTTCAAGAGAAAGTTTCAGAGTCTCTTCTGACATCCATTTCAACTGGGCATTAATACTTTTTTTCTCTTGCATAAATGAATGACAGATATTTGTATTTAGAAGAGTAAGTCAGAACAAGCAGCAGGTTAAGTTAACTGTGTTTTGACTGTGGATATAGATTTGGAGTCCAAAGCAACCTTCACTCTTTAACTTCTCTGGCTTTTTTTTTTTTTTAGCTTGAATGAACTTGGAAAAGAGGAGCGAAGGGGTGGAACAAAAGGGCATGGAAAGATTGTTGTTGTTGTTATGTGCCATTGAGTCAGACTGACTCATACTGCCTTAACTTTTTAAAAATTTTTATTGTGATTTGGGTGAAAATTTACAAAGCAAATTCATTTTCCATACAGTAGTTCACAGACACTTTGTCTCATGGCATTGACTACAATTTCCCACAATGCAACAGCTCTCCCCCAATCTCCTCCCCATAGTCACTTCTTCCCTGTGTCCTTCCCTCCATTCACTCCTAACCTCCGAGCTGTCTCCCTGTAGCACTGCCTTAACTTTTCCGCTATTAAAACTAGAAGCCTATTTCTCTCCACAGATGAGAAGTGAACTTACTTAATCAATTTTATAGAGTCTGTTCATAAACTATAGAAATTGGAGCTTAATAAATGACCTGATAATGTCATTGGAACCAAGGCAATATGATATTTATATGTATGATTGCTGGTAATTCTTTGTTTCTAAGTGATTGTTCATCTAGTTATTAAAGATTTCTGTCCTGCTGGTGTATTTGATAAATGAATAATGAATTCATAATTACTCATCTGTGTGTTGTAACAGTACTCATAATATATTTTCATGTCAAAATAAACATATTTTTACACCTTAATTTTTGATAACAGCATTACTACTTCATTTTGTGGGCATCTTATTTATTCAACCCCCTGTTGGATGTCTAGGTGCTCTTTAGATTTTTAACATTATGTATGACAACCATGCAGGTATGTCTTTTATGCACTTTCCTCAGGATGAATTTCTAGAAGCACAATTGTTGTATTAATGGTTTTCACTTTTTAATACTTCTTAAGTACTTTTTTTTTTTTGGTATGCCTTACCAAATTAATCTTTGGAAAGATTGTACCAGTTTATACTAGGATATTAGCATTACCTGAGAGTACTTACTTTCTATGCTTTTCCCAGCATTGGGTATTGTTTTATAATCTTTCACAGTTTGCAAGTTAGTGAATGATATGACATTGCTGTTATATTTCTTTAATTATTAAGGAAGTTAAACATTATTTCACATGTTTACTGACCATTTGTATTTCTTTTTTTGCCTGTTCAGATTGTTTGCCTATTTTTTCTGGGGGGTATTCATTGTGTTCTTATTAATTTATAATAGTTCCTCGTGTGTTAAGTATAATGAACTTTTTCTGACATCTAAATTGCAAATTTCCCCCAGTTTTTTTTTGTTATTTATGATTTTTTTTGCCAAGCAAGTATTCGTAATTGCTCCCTCCTCATCTCCTTTGAAGCGCCTTAGCAAGTATTTTCCTTCATTTTTTTAATGTACCTTTCATGCTTTTATCTATTTGAAATGCATTTTGATGCATGATACAAGATAAAAGTCTTTTTATCCCTTACATAGTTAACTAAATATTCCAACATGAGGTTTTTCTTTTCTTACTGAATTGAAATATAGTAATTATCATATGCAGAGTAACTAAGTAAATTGTGGATTATTTTTAGTCTTTCTATTCTATTAATTCTGTGTTTGGCCTAGTCTAAGTATCACCTTGCTTTAATTATTGCGATTTTATAAAGCATTGCTATTAGACATTCCACACATTTTTATCTTTAACCTAAGTAAAATAATCAATAATGAGGCATATGTGAACTTTTCCTAGACTTGAGTTTTGTCACTGGCTCCCATGTTGGAGAGCTGATCATCTGGGATATCCTGGATTGGACCATACAGGCCTATGAACGTAACTTCTGGGACCCATCTCTACAGTTGGACACCCAACAAGAAATAAAACTCTGTCAAAAACCAAACGATATTTCTATTCATCATTTTACATGTGATGAAGAGGTAAAAATCTATAAAATATCTATAAATTTTTTTTTAAGAAAACCTGCTTTCTGATACTTCAAATTTAATCCAGTGATGGATACAAAATGATATCATTCTCCATGGTTTTAAATTATGCTTTAAAATGGCCTGAGGTTTTTGGAAGATTGTACCACTTGCATTGACAAAACATTTTTATCTTAGCACTTATCTTTGAATAAAGATATAATTAAATGGCCAGAGATTTTAAAATGATATTGAAATTTTGGGTTGGACTAAATAATTCCATAGGACTTGAAGTTAATGTTTAAAATTATTTTAAGGAATACTATTGGGAAAAAATCCTTTTGTACATTCTAGTGCATTTTCTAGAAAGGTAAAACCAAAAACCAAACCAACTCACTGCCATTGAGTTGATTCCGACTCTTAGTGACCCCCGTTGGGTTTTGGAGGCAGTAAATCTTTATGGAAGTACATTGCCTCATCTTCCTTCCACGGAGCAGCTGGTGGGTTTGAACCGCCAACCTTCTGGTTAGTGGTCAAATGCCTTAGGCACTGCCCTACCAGAGCTCCTTAGAAATTAAAAATTTTAGGAATATTTCTCTTTTAGTCTCTGACTAAGATGATGTGTAAGAATTGCTAATTTTGGTCCTTTCTCTGGGCAGTGATGTTCTTAAAGCACTTTATGTATTTTTTTGTAGTAAGAGAGTACCAGCTCTGGTGGCATAGTACCTAAAGCATTTGACTATTTCTTCTTTTAGTCTCAGGGCCTCAGAAAATGTGTGATTTACAAGGAATGTTTATAAGTTGTAACCTTTGAGGAGAGGATTAGAGAAAGCTTTTATTGCACTGTATTTTCTACCTTCCTGCATTATTTAAATTTTCTAATTGTGTGTGCATGTTATATCTAGTACTGGTAAGTTTGAAATACCTGCAGGGTCACCTCTGGTGGACAGGTTTCAGTGGACCACCTAACTAAGACAAACTAGATAGAAAGGCCTGGTGATCTACTCCCAAAAATTAGCCAATGAAAACGCTGTGAATCACAGCAGAATATTGTGCTATGTATTTTCCTAGAAGATGAGCCCTCTAGTTTAGAATGCAGTAGACAGTAGTTATAACACTGAATTCAAACATATCAACAGTCATGAAGATGATGCTGGGCCATGCAACATTTTGTTCTTTTGTATGTGGGGCCACCATGAGTTGGAGCTGACTAGAGGTCAACTAATGACGACAATGCATACTATTATTTTTATTAAATATTTCAGTGGTAGTATTCTGGTTTGTGGGGGGTATGGTACATTTTTTTGTTTTATTTCCATCTCTCTCACTTAGAAGAAGAAAAGAATAGAATAAAAAATAATATAAAGAGTGCTAGTATAAGCATCGGAAGTGAAGAAAAACACACACACACACAAAGAGGGCATTTAGAAGCAATCAGCCCTAGGACACAATGGCCCTCGAGATCAGAAGAACTAGATGGTGCCTGGTTACCAATGCCAACCACTTAGGAAAGGATGAAATCTGGAGATCCTGGATAGAGTGGGAGGGAAAATGTGGAACAAAATCCAAAAACTCAATAATGACCAGAGTTACTGGTCAAATGAAATCTGGCAACACTCCCAATACTATGGCCCTGAAATACATTCTTTACCTGGAATAGAATACACCCCCAGGGGTGGGCTCTCAGCCCAGTAGTTAACATGATGTACATGCAGACCACTCAACTCAGGATGATGCACCCACATACTCTATGGTAATACATCCTTTGGAGCAATGGACCATGGGACACCAGAGGACCAACATTCAAATTGAGGAAGTATAGGACAAACAGTAGTGTATAAATATGAGGGGCATGGGGAGGGTTACAGGGTAAGGAGGGGAAGAGACTGGGTTAGGATTGGACATGGTAAATGGGGAATGAAACTAAATGTACGCATTATGTTGGATGTAAAACAAACTCTTAAAATAATAATAAAAAAAATAAAGAATGCTAGTATACCCACAGATTGTTTCTTTGTAAGTTTTACTTTGGAAAAAAAAAATCTATAATTAAAAAAATGGTCCCAGAAAAGATAGAGACTAGATTTCTTAAGAGTTTAGCCTAGTAATTACATATTTTAAAAATTTTATACCTATTTTCACTTTTATGAAAGTCAATCTTTAAAAAATTTTTCATTTTGTATGACTATTTTGATTGATGTTTGTTAACTGCTATAAATGCTTGATAAAGTACTATTCTGTGTCCCTAATTTTCTTTCTCTTGTTGGAGGGTCTTTCCTTCTTGTGGTGTAGTAAATTACCTGGTATGGCTTTTCTAGCCATAAGTCTTTGTAAACTCCATGGTGGAATTTGCCATGAGCAACTGAGCAGCTCCTGATTGTTAAAGTTATCCACCTGGGGTATTTCTGTTGCAAGTGGCAGGAAGCACTCTTCTGGGAAGTTCTCTCTCAGGTGTGTAGGACTCTCAAAAGGAGCCCTTGTAGAGACAAGAGTCTCTGACTGCTGGCTGAGAAGACCTGCTGAAATGCACTTCTGAGAGACATGCACTCTCTGAGAGAGAGAAGTGAGACGTGCTGCTGAGAGAGAGAACGTCGGCTGCTAAGTGAGACAGCTGGCTACAAGAGACTGAGTGCATTTCTGAACTTGAATGGTAGCCTGTTGCTTCCCTAATAAACCCCATAATGAGTGAGTTCTGTGTGGCCACTGCAGCGAGTTATTGAACCCAGCAGAGAGGTGGTGGGTGCTGCAAGAGGACTGGTTGGTGTCAGGGTTGCTGAAAGGGCTGGAGGGAGGCAGCATGTCTGGCCTCACAAGAATAGGCCTTAGGCTACTGATGGTTATTCTGTCTTCCTCTTGTGGGGTTAGAGGAGGTCAGAAGATGTGACCTCCTTGCCCCTTTGGCACTTCTACAGAGGATTTGATTACTGATGATGGGTGGTTGATGGGGTAATTTCTTTGAGTAAATTCTATCCTCAAAGTTTATAAATTCTCTAAAGGTAAAATCCACACATGGATTTCCTGGTCTGTAGCACTATTTTCTAGAGTTTCTTTGCATTGAATGCTTATACATAGGGCTCTAGGTTTTTGGTGAGCTCTTTTCATTAATATCTCTGGCTACTGGTCCTCAGTTTACATTGTTGGTTGCAGAATACCGATCCTGAGGGTCAAGTAGATCATTCCAGATTATGACTCTTCTAACACTTGGGGCATACTCTGGTCCAGTTTTGTAGTTCTGTAGCTTCTGTAGCCTTTGAAATCCTTTGAGAAGGTTTCAGAGGGCCCAGGGTCTCTGGCAAAAACAGGAGGACAATCTGTAGAGATATTTGAAAGGTCTGCCTCACTGAGTACCTACTGAGTATGAATGAATGATTCTAATACAAGTGCTAACAAAAGTGTGGCAACTTGAAAAATAATGTCAGAAACTAGGCAGTGTGCTTTAAGGAAAATGCAAGGTATAGATCATATGATTTTAATATTGACTTTATGTCTTATTTTGTGTGTGACTAGTTTTTTGTTGTTATTTTAACTTGCTCATCTAGAAAATGGCAATAAAGCTTGCCTGTCTTACCTTAACAAGATGTTTTGGGGTTAAAGTGAGATAATACTGGTGAAAGTGGTCTCAAAAGACTAAAGGTGTTCTTAGTAAAAAGGTATTTCTGATACTGTATTTGGAAGAATGTTATTGTGAAGCCAAATAATAGTGCTATCATAGCCTATGCTCTTTTGTATTCTTTGTTAGGTCTCTTGATTGCTTAAGATGTTGCTGTTAGTTGACTTTGAGTCGCCTCTGACTCAGAGTGACATAGTTTTTGTTGTTGTTGTTGTTGTTACGTGCCATCGAGTCAGCCCCAACTCATAGCGACCCCTCCGTGGGTTTCTGAGGCATTATCACTACAGAAGTAGGATTGCCCAACCTTCCTTCTGAGGAGTGGCTGGTGGGTTTGAACCACCAGCCTTCTGGTTAGCAGTCAAGTGCCTTGGGCACTATGTTATGTATAACAGAACTAAACGTTGCGCAGTCCTGTGCCGTCTACATGATCTTTGGTATGTTTGAGTTCATTGCTGTGGCTACTGTGTTAATAATCTATCTCATTGAGTGTTTTCCTTGTTTTTGTTGACCCTCTACCTTACCAAACATAATGTCCTTTTGCAATGCTTGGTATTTCCTTATGATGTGTCCAAAGTAAATGAGTCAGAGTCTTGCCGTCCTCTCTTCGAAAGAGCATTCAGATCATATTTCTTCTGAGACTGATTTGTTCAGTCTTCTGGCGGTCCACATTATATTTATTATTCTTTGCCAGCATTGCAGTGTGAATGAACAGTTCTTCTATTTTCCATTTTCACTTCCAACTTTCTCATGCATATGAGGTGATTAAAAAAGACCACTGCTTGGGTCACATGTGCCTTAGTCATTAAAATGACATCTTTGATTTTTTTTTTTTTTAAAAAAACACTTTAGAGAATTCTTCTGCTGTAGATTTTCCCAATGCAGTACTATCATTTGATTTCTTGACTGCTGCTTCAATGGATGTTGATTGTTGATCAAAGTAGAATGAAATTGTTGACAACTTTAATGTAGAGTTCAAGTAATTTTGCTCACATTTTTCAGGCAAAAGAAGCTAAGTAATTTTTCCAAGGATGTTTATTGTGTTATGTGATTGAAAACCCAAGTTTATATAGTTTATTCTAATTGTTGGCAGTAGTTATATTCTAGAAAGTCACTGTGAACACTGAATTAACAACTACTGAATGAACCATTGCTCCTAGGTTCTTGCAAGCCTCTGGTCACAGCATTTTCATCAGCCGATCAAGATAGAGCCTTGTTTTATGGTGTGTTGTTGACTCATCAACATTGAACTCATGCCTAAATGAGTTCTGTACTGTAACTCATGCCAACAGTACTGTAACTTATGCTTAAATGAGTTCATCTAATGTATGCTATTTTCTGCATAAGGCACATCACAGCCTTCTTGCACTTAGGAATATTATACTTAGGAACCATTTTAAACAGTAAAATCAGCAAAACAGCAGAAAAATGTGAAAAAAATAAAACCCATGGCACTAAATAGACTGCAAAAAGAACACTTGTTTACAGTAAGAGAGCTGAAGCAAGAAGACATCGTCTCTTTGTTTGGCATGTTCATTTGGGCTTTTTAAATTTTTTCCCACTCTTCGCATGTTCACGAATGACTATGAAAGCATTGCAAATACTAATTTTGAGGTTATAAATAAATTTTAACCAGTAGGGTACTTTGCAAATGCAGAATCCACAAGTTATTAGAATTGGTTATACTTCAGCAGTTATGCTGCAGAACAGTCTGGCTACTAGCTCCTTTCTCCACCTGTCATATTTGTGAGGAAGAAAGTGATGCTGAGGAGGTGTGATATACAGAGCTTTCTCTGTATTAGTGGCTGTGCCCTACCTTCTAAACATTCAGCTTTCCTTGGTGTTTTGACAATTTTGAACTTCAGAGGGCAGCACAGTAATTTAGGCTGAAGGTAAGAATAGGGAAAGTTACCAGGGCTTTCTGATATCACACTATGCCTGGAAATCTATTACACTAGGTAGTAGGATATACTAGTTTGACATCCATTTCTGAACTTTTGCCCCCTAGAATATATTTGCTGCAGTTGGAAGAGGTTTATATGTGTATAACCTTCAAATGAAACGTGTGATTGCCTGCCAGAAAACTGCACATGACTCAAATGTCCTGCACATTGCCAAGCTTCCAAACAGGTACAAGTTTCCACCTGTTCTGCATGCAATAGATGAAAGAAATTTGTGGCTCCGAGGGCCACCAACCTAATTCCTCATGTGGTAAAGTTACCTGGCATCATGGCTTGACCTGTTATGTTATTTTGGAAATGGAGAGTACCCAGGGTTCCCTGTAACAGACAAGTTTGATGCAATATATCACAAAATTTAAAAGAAGCAAAGTTCAAGTGAATTACATGGAATTTCCTGAAAGAAGAGATAATTAAAAAATTTGGTACTTATTTTAATGAGTAGAAGGCTTTTGGGCACTTAAAATGTACTCATTTTTATGTTTTCCATGAACCCACATTTTGCTTGTTTTAAGTTTATGGCCAGAATCAAATGGTGGTTTCTTTATTGCCTAAGGTTAGTGAATGAGGATTTTTTTTCTTGGTAAATTTGGCTGTCTTGGGATGAAATTAGGTGAAGGCAATACCATTTTTAATGCAGGATATTTTTAGAATGAAAGGCACACTGAGAAGAGATAATATTAAAAGGAAGGAAGGGGGCTGGGCAGGACATTGAAAATAATTCATAGCCTGTTTTCCTTAATGCATTTTAAAGAATGGAGATGATAAATTTAGAATATTTGAGTGTATGTAGCATAGTATAATGTGTGCCTTTCCTGAAGGGTGCTTTTACCTTTCCTGAAGAGTGTTTTTACTTCATGTTGTAAAGCCAAGGTAAATTGTGTTTTTTTTTTTTTTTCATATATATATATCAGTTCCTGCTAAGAGCTGAATAAAAGCAGTTAAGGCCCTCACTGATTTCTTTCACTGCTGCAAACTGAGCACTAGCCTTCCATGGTGCTCTGTCTTTTATACTCATCTTTTGTTCTGACAGGCAGTTAATCTCATGCTCAGAAGATGGCAGTGTACGCATTTGGGAGTTACGGGAAAAACAGCAGCTCACTGCTGAGCCTGTACCAACAGGTGAGTGTCTTCTCCTAGTCTCACTCTTTCTTTTTCTCATAAGAAAGGCAAGAGAAAATCAGTGGCCTGTAACCACAAGAGTAAGTCAGTTTAGAATGTGCTCCAAATAGAATTTCAAAGGAGACCTAAGATGTTTATAGGAGCCCTGGTGGCATAGTGCCTAAGGCATTTGACTGCTAACCAGAAGGCTGGCAGTTCAAACCCACCAGCCACTCCTCGGAAGGAAGATTGGGCAATCTACTTCCGTAGTGATAATGCCTCGGAAACCCGAGGAAGGATTGCTATGAGTCGAATCCTACTCGACGGCAGTGAGTTTGGTTTGGTTTCTTTGGTAAGATATATATGGTGAAGCATTTCAGAATATGGTCATGGGGACCTAGGATTTGTATCTTTACAACTTTAATTTATATTAATATAAATTGATTTAATATATAACTGCCTATTTATTTCCATTTAAGTCAACTGAGATTTTATTACTTTGAGAAAAAAACTGCTATTTTCTGATAATCTAAATGACCAGCTGGCCTAATAGTGGCATGTAATTAATTTATATCATCTGTAATTCTGATTGATACACTAACAGAATTTGTACTTTCAGATGTCAATCTAAAGAGTTGGTTAAATCTTGAAGCATTATCATTATCATTGAACTCAAATGGCTTTATGGAAAAATACACTTTTCTTTGAGTTTATGTCATAATCTCATGGCATTTTTACTTCCATGTTTTTGGTTTGAAAACAAAACCCTGGATGTTTAACAACCTTTGCATAAGAAATCAGATGCTGATACAATTTCTTCTGACTTACGTGCAGTCCTGTTGTTGTTGTTTGCCATCGAGTCAGACCCAACTCATAGCAACCCCTCCTTGAGTTTCCGAGGCAGTATCACTACGGAAGTAGATTGCCCAAACTTTTGTGAAGTCCTAGGGTATTGCTTTTGGATACATACACATAGCTTCTCCTCTTTACCCTTTATTACTATGGTCTATACTACATTATTTAGTGCCTGATTATGTAGTCCTTAACTGGTGATTGATTGAATTAATGCTTTTTTTAAAATGCCTAAGTCTGAACTATGCTTTTTTTATTCTCCCTAAATTAGATGCTGCCGTTCAAGCATTTACTTCTCTCCTCTTTGATTTGCAGCATCTATCTTTATCATGTTAATACACCTTCACCAGAGAGTGAGTAGGGGCTAAGAAAGGTGTAATGAAATGTTGTTGTTGTTGTTGTTGTTTGCTGTCGAGTTGGCCCCGACTCGTAGCGACCCCTCCTTGGGTTTCCGAGGCAGTATCACTACGGAAGTAGGATTGCCCAACCTTAAAAGAGGAAAAACAAAAAAACTTCAGCATAGTACTAGGGGTACCATCATTCCCTTAGTCCTGGACTAAAA